TTCTGGTTTCGTTTCTGGTTTCGTTTCTATGTTTCTGGTTTTAGCAATGCCCAGTTTAATGTATTCTGGCCTTTTGTTCGCATCGTTTTAAGTATTGAAAAAWAGTATAATTAAGTCAGTTCACTTCAACGTTCAACGGAACTATCTTGTAAGTATTCTTTCAGTTTTTCGTATTTTGCCCTTTTTTGTATCATTCGTTTATTGACKTTTGTAATGTAATATTTTAGGAACCATTCGTTCGTTCGTTTGTGATTAACGTAACAATGTGAATAAACGTCAACAACGAGTTCAAGAAGTTTGGCTATTATATTCGTTCAAGATATGTCTAACAACGAACCCTCTACAAGTGTAACGACTAGAGGAAGAAACCTGAAAAAATCAAAGAAAGAACAAGAACGCGACGAAACGTACAAAAAGAAATCAGAATGCTACGCCGTAAACAGACAGTTACGTGAATTTATAAGGAGCTTATCGGCGTCCAAAGAGAGTATGAACATTGTTTACGACAGATTGGTGAGAAAACTACCTTACAAGATGMAAGAAGGTTGGAGAAGACATGCGTTAACTTTACGTAAGTCAGAGTTCTGTCTGTAACTTCATTCTTACTGAAGCAGAAGTTGCCGCAAATCCAAGATTTTCTTCTACGACCTTGAAAGGTTTTGGTTCTACTGTGCAACATCAGCCCAAGCTAACGTACAGAGTGGCAACACGCGCAACTTCGATGCTCAACACTTCCAATACATCTAGTGAAGTTGATCTTCAGCGAGACCATTTGTGTCAAAGCCATCATGATTTAGACGATTGTGAACAGTTTAAACTGAAGTCCATCACCGAAAGAAGAGATTTCCTGAAGGACAAAGGACTGTGCTTCGCGTGTTACAAGAGGACACAGATCACATGGATGTACACAAAAACGACTCTGCAAGCTATGCAATAAACGTCATCCCACAAGTTTACATTATTACAATTTCAACAGTGATTCCACTGTSATGCAAAAACCTACACTGATAAATGCCAGAACTGTGAACATTGATTTACATGAACATACAGATTGTAATGAAGAGTCATCTATTAAATTCATGCCTATCGTTCCAGTGAAACTAAGTGGAAACTAGTTATTACAACCTACGCTATGTTGGATTCATGCAACACAGGGACATTCATTTCAGAAGATGCAGTGAGAAGACTWAAGGTTGATGGCGT